TTTTTTTTTAAAAGAAAACACTTATTTATATAAAATCAAGATTATCAAAGGAGAGAGCCCAATTTTTTTTTTTTAATGATCTTAATTTTACAGTTAACCGCGCGACAGCATCCTCTATTTATATTCATATAAAACCCTACCCTCACACATTACAATGTTTTTAAAAAAAATTGAAAAGCCTTTCCCCCCTCTTTTCCCTCCAACTTTGGCCAGTAAAAACTTTCTTTAACAAGAGCTAAAGTCTTGTCTCTCCCAAAATGACCAGCTAATCCACCATTATGTGCTTCCCAGATAATTGAATCTCAGAGTGAGCAACATGGAACACATAGTCGGTTACCCTTGAAGAGGTAACCTTGCTGGCGATGATATTGTTGAAAGGCTTGATTAGAAGTGGCTTGCCAAATGTTGCTAAAATCAGGATCATCCTCATACAACTCCTTGATCACTTCAAATCCAGTGACTTTCATTTGTAAGGAAGTAAGCAAGGCATGTCGACGACTCAGAGCATCAGCTACACAATTCTGGACCCCATATTTGTATTTGAGGAGGAAAGGATAAGCTTGTAGAAATTCACTCCAAGCAGCATGTCGATGACTGATCTTCTGTTGAGAATTCAGGTGCTTCAATGCCTCATGGTCAGAGTGCAAGATGAATTCTTTGGAAAGAAGATAATGACTCCAATGCTCCAAGGCTCGAATAATTGCATAGAATTCTTTGTCATAGGTGGAATATCTGAGCTTTGTGTCATTCAACTTTTCACTGAAGAAGGCAATGGGTCGACCTTCTTGACTTAACACTGCACCAATTCCAACATTAGAAACATTACAATCTACTTCAAACATCAGGTCAAAGTTGGGAAGTGCAAGTACAGAGGTTTCAATGAACTTCCTCTTTAATTCTTCAAACTCTGTTGGGCTTTGTCACTCCATAAAAATTTGTCACCCTTAAGGCTGTCAGTAATAGGGGCAACAATAGAACTAAAATTCTTGATGAATCTCCGGTAAAAAGATGCCAGGCCATGGAAGCTTCGAACATCATGCATCGATGTTGGTGTAGGCCAGTTGACAATAGCATCAATCTTACTGGGGTCCATCTTGATACCTTGAGCAGTGATGATGTATCCAAGAAATGTCACACTTGTAGTGAGAAATGAATATTTCTTGAGATTAGCATAAAGTTTCTATTCTCTAAAGACTTCAAAAACTTGCCAAAGATGGTCTAGGTGCTCCTGTTCATTCTTGCTATATACCAGGATATCATCAAAGTAAACCACAACAAATTTTCCAATAAAGGGTTGAAATACCTAGTTCATAAGGCGCATGAAAGTGCTGGGAGCATTTGACAATCCAAATGGCATGACCGTCCACTCGTACAAACCATCTCTAGTTTTGAATGCTGTCTTCCATTCATCATCAGGACGCATTTGAATCTGGTGATATCCACTTCTCAAATCAATCTTTGAGAAGACAGTAGCTCCATGCAGTTGATCAAGCATATCATCAAGGCGTGGAATTGGGAAGCGTACTTGATAGTGATTTTGTTGACTGCTCGACTATCTACACACATTCTCCAAGTTTCGTCTTTCTTTGGGACAAGTAGCACAAGCACGGCACATGGGCTAACACTTTCCTTGACAAGTCCTTTCTCCATCAGTTCTTTGACTTGTCATTGAAGTTCCGCATACTCTTGAGGGTTCATCCGATAAGCAGGCTTGTTTGGGATGACAGATCCTGGGATGAAATCAATGGCATGCTGAATGTCTCTCATTGGTGGTAATCCAGGAGGGATCTCGTCAGGAACAACATCAGAAAATTCTTCAAGGAGAGATTGAATTTCTTCTGGAAAAGGGCAGGTGGCATCATTTACTTTGGATAATAGTCGGAGACATGCTATCCCCGACTCTTGGTGCAACCTCTGAAAGGTTGATATGGAGATTAAAGCCTTGTCCTCATCCTTCTTTTCAAGTGTTTCTTCAGGCTTCAGGAGAGTGAGCTTGACCTTCACACCATCTTTCACAAACGAGTAGGTGTTGGCATGGCCGTCATGGATAGCCTTTCGGTCAAATTGCCAAGGGCGACCAAGTAACAAGTGACAAGCATCCATAGGAATAACATCACACCATACTTCGTCTTGGTACCTATTACCAATAGAAAAAGAAACAAGGCAACGTTTGGTTACTTTTACCTCGTTTTCCTTTCGTAGCCACTGTAACTTGTATGGATGGGGATGATCTTTGACAAGCAGACCTAGCTTCTCAACCATATAATTTGACACAACATTCTCACAACTTCCACTGTCAATGATGACATTGCAAACTTTCCCTTGAGAAGTGCATCTGGTGTGAAAGATGTTATGTCAAAGCCAATCTTCATCCTTAGTTATGGTAGCATGTAGACTGGGATGAGTTCTTCCTCAAGCTGAGGTGACTCAGTTTCATCATTTTGCTCCTTTTCTGCTTTATCTTCTGAGGCTTCATGAATTTCTCCTCCGATAATGGTGACAACTCTCCTATTTGGACAGTCGGAGGCTATGTGGCCAAATCCTTGACACTTGAAACACTTTTGAGTGTTAGATTGAGCTGGACAGCTCAAGCTGACTTCCTTCTCAGTCTTGACAAGGGTCTTAGCAGCAATTTTTTAGGCTTGAGTCCCTCTGCTGGCTCCAAAATCCCGCGGTTTTGAAGCACTAGTGATATTCTTTTTTGAGATTTGCTTTTCAACCCTCAATGCTAGCCGAACTACATCATCCAAAGTCCAATATTGTTGAAGTTGAACAACTTTGGAAATGTCATAGTCTAACCCTCCAAGATATTGAGCTATGGTTTGCTCGTCCTTTTCCCGAACATCACACTTCATCATTAATTGTTTGAACTCCATAGTATATTCTTCCACAGTCAAAGATTTTTGCTGCAAGTTATGAAATTTAACAAAATTATCTTAGTAATAACGGTCAGGTAAAAACTTACAAGTGAGTTCCCGATACATTTTCTCCCAAGTTCTAATTTTGTTGCGGCCTTCTCTTTCTCGACTGTGTTTGAGATTCTCCCACCAAATGGATGCATGCTTCTTTAATTTGATGGCGATGAGCTTCACACGCTTGTCGTTAGGAATATCCTTGAGTTCAAACACACGTTCCACAGTGTGCAACCAATCGATAAATTCATCTAGTTGAAGGTGACCTTCAAAATCTGGAATATCAATTTTGATGCCAAGGTCAGTGGATTTGGGAGCAGCATTTTGTTGGGGACGACGTCGACGACGAACTTTTTCTGTTGATGATGAGCTTTCATTATCCCTTAGGTGATGGAAGGGATTCTCGTCATTAGTATCTTCCTCTGACTCATGTGGTTCATCTTGCAGGTGTTGAGCTTGTTGTCCCTCAAAAGCTTCGAGTCTTTCTTGAAGCCCTTGAATTTTTTGACGTAGTTCTTCCATTTCTATGTCCCGAACAGCTCGTTGACGAGGAGAATTTTGTCTTCTAGGAGACATGATGAGTTAGGGTGGTAAGGGGTTTTTTGGAAACTTAGTATTTAAAAGTGGGGGTCATTTGAAATTTATAAAATTATGGGATCAATCTGTAAGGTCAAAATAAGTTGAGGGACTTGATGACGTGGTAAAACAAAGCGGCTGCGGTGATGATGTGTCACTGACGTGGCTGATGACGTGTCAATGACATGGCACAGATGATGTGGCAGTGACTGGATGATGACATGTCGATGACATGTCGATGACGTGGCTGATGACACGGCGAATGGGAGGTTGAAGAAGACCGACGCGTGACTTTCACGTGATTTGCAGTGGTGCGAGTGGTCGGCGCGTGAGATAACGGCGTGGCGTGTAGGGGCGTGTGCAACCTTGTTTGTCGACCGGATTTTCACCAGAACGCTCAGAATGACGTGCATACTCCAAATATATTGGTTCTAATACCAAATGGCGTAGGAGTCGATACCAAAACACCGATTTTGGCGAGATTTAAAATCCCACTACGATAACTTCGATTGCCAAGATCACCACTTAAGTTGGCAAGACCTAAGATACAGAGATAAATTGAGAGAATCCACTCTCAAGAAACTCACTCAAAACAAAGTAGAATTGAAACTTCATTAACTGATAAAACTTATGCATACAATGAAGGGAACATAGCCATTTAAAGGCAAAGTTTAACATAAGGCAATAAATGAAAAGTGAAAATGCAGTTGGGAGTTTGGAAAGTGAAAATGCAATTGGGAGTTAGCCATTTAATGGCCACTTTGACAAAGTTGCACCGGCCTAGTGGTGCTGCAGAATAGCTTTTGCATGCTTGTTGTTTTTTTCCTGGTGCAATGAGGAGGATGGATGGCGAAATGAGGATCATCGTCAGCCTCATCCAAATTGTCAACATCAAACAGAGAACCCTCATAAGCACTAGCGTCGCCCTTACCCACAGCAATCTAGGCTGCATTCACTAGAGCAACTGCAGCTGCTTTTTCCAAGGCAACTGCCACTTTTGCTACCAAAAGACCGTCTACGTGCCCACCTACCTCCTGAACTGCGACCTCCATAACATTCGCAAAGGCTAACTTTGCGAGTAGCAAATCTAGTTTCTCATAGGATAGCAGCAGCTTCCCATTTAGCAACGCTTGGCGTTGAGTAACTGATCGCATTTTTGACGGCATCGTAGATGGCAACCGATTCTATAGCTAATCAAGCAGGGTTTATACTTTCTGGGACAATTAGGGTTTTGGGAATTAGGAAACCAATATATACTTAATTAACGACAAAAACACATTAGTTGCCTTTCAATTTTTCGAATTTGAGGCATTTTACCCCTAATCTTACAATATATGAATTTTGAATATAAGGAAAAGAGAAAATATTTAAATGCAAACAAAAACGATGGATGACCACAGAAATTGTTTTGAAGCTGTCAACGAAGGGCTTAAGGATAGATGTCATATAAATGGTGGTTAACCCCTATGGAACTTTTGACAACAAGATTCAAACCTTGAAGATAATTTTAGTAAAACCTGGTGTTTGAAAGATAATTTTAAAAACTATAAGTTTTAAATATTGCATGAAATGCTAGTTCATCAGAATCACCCCGTCACCATTATCGTCAAAAGGTTCGTTATCATCACCATCACCGTCAAGAGGGTTGTTCCCACTAGGAGGAGGACATTCCCGCTAGGAGGAGGACATTCTCGCCAGGAGGAGGACATTCTCGCAAGGAGGAGGACCGTTCTTGTGATTCTCCAATCAGTTAATGTGACTGCCAGTGAAATTCCAATTCCAATTGGAGATGAAGGGGACCCTCAATATGTAAGTTCAAACTTTTTATAGATTTTTCGTTATTATAATTCCTTTTTTATTTCCTTGCAGAAGCTCTGTTCTTATTGCAACTGTGTTGCGAATCTCTCAGAATGTGCACCCAATGTTTATTTAGAGAGCTTTTATTACATTCTAACCCAGAAAATGATGAGGCTGCGTTAATTCTTTCCACATTTTTTGTGTGAGGGCATATTAATCTTTTGCTGAGTAAAGATCATAGGCGGAACACAACACCTAAGCAAAGAAGGATATTGTTAACCACACTAATTCCAATTGCCTATGATCTAATTCTTTATAAAGACGAGCCTTATGGATGGTTTTCTACATCTAGAAATAGCATTTTAAAGAACCAATATGCAAGATCTCGTGGAATGGAAGTTCCAGATTTGTAGATTGGAGTAACAGTCACCAGCTTGAAAGCTTCAGTATAGATCCCGTGTGCTTCTTATACATAGAAGCTAGGACCTCTAGGCTTTTAATATAAAGGCAGATTAATATGTTACCAAAACAATAATTTTGCTTTTATTATTTTGAAAGGCTTTGAAAAAGCATTTGCTCTTATGTATTCTTTTGTGTAAATTGCTTTTATATGTATAATATTTAAATCAATAAAAATGGGCTTAGCCTAGTTTATTTTATAACTTTAAATATTTTGATATTTTCCTTAAGATATTTTCCATTAAATTAGTTTTTCTTTACAGGTAATTGATTTTCTTTCTATAAGTTTTAAATTGATTCGAAACCAGATTTTTCTCATAAAGAAACATTTTATGTTAAAAGAGTTTTTACTTCCATTACAATCTTTTTCTATAGACATTTCGGGCTGTTTTTTTTATCTTGTGTAGTTCATTTTCGTACTTGATAAACCAGAAGGTTTACCAAAAGGGAATGTTACAATTAGCTATTGTTAGGGTTAAGTAATTGTTAGGGTTTATTAAATATATCTTTCTCAATTGGCAAGATTTATGTTCCTTCTGTCTACGTGTACCCAACTTTTTGCCATGCTCAGCCAAACCATTGCATGTTCTATGACATCATGCACCCATGAACTCCTCAAACGGATGAGGATGCCGATGTTCTTGGCAAATACTTTGACAGAACCCTTCTTTGGCAATTTCTATAAGACATAGAAGCAACACGAGATGAAATGAATCACTTTATTAGGATTGCCATAAGAGTTTCAAGAGCTTTAGAATAAAACCCTTACTATGGACCCTATGGCACTTTTGCCAATGGGATTCGACAGGTTCGTCAATCCCTTAATGTGGCTACAGATGAAATTCCACTACCAATTCCATCTAGAGATGAAGCGGTAATTTCAAACTTTTTGTTATTAGTTTTTTATTATAATTATAATTTTATTTTATTATCTATGTCTTTAGTTCCTTGCAAAATCTTTGTTCCTATTGCAAGCTTGTTGCCGAATGTCCGGCCCAATGTATATTCAGAGAGGTTTTATTGCCTTCTGAGGCAAAAAATGATGAGGTTGCATTAATTTTGTCTAAATTTTTTCTATGACATATCAATCTTTTGTTGGAGAAAGATCCTAGGCAAAACGGAACACCTAAGCAAAGAAAGATCTTATTAAAAACACTCATTCATGTTTCATATGATTTTATTCTTTATAAGGATGGCCCTTATAGTTGGTTTTCTCTATCTGGAAATAGAGTTTTAGAGGAAACTTATGTAAGATCCAGTTGTTAAGCCACGTGACAGGACTCGACATTCATAGTAAGCCTGCATGTAAAGGGACATGTTGAGTGGAAAAATCCCACATTGAGTGTAAGACAAAAAAGCTTGTGGGTTAAATACAAGGAAAGCTATTTCACCTATCGCCAATTAGTTTTAAGTTGGATGTAAACCTTGTATGGAGCCCACATACACAATTTTCACATGGTATCAAAGCTCATATTCTATCTTGAGAAGCCGATTGTGGGTTAAATTTAAGGAAGGTTACATTGGCTATTGCCAATTGATTTTAGATTGGATGAAAACCCTATGTTAAGCCCACATGCACAATTTTCACATGGTATAACGAAAAAACTTGTGGGTTAAGGCTCCTCCACTTATTGCCAATTAGTTTTAGGTTGAATGCAAGTCTTGTGTTAAGTCTACATGAACAATTTTCACATGGTATCAAAGCCCAAGTTCTACCCAGGAAGCTCGTTGTTAGCCCACCTAATAGGATCTAAAGTTAATATCGGACCTACATGTAAGGGGGCATATTAAGCTATATAATAGAACCCGACATTCATAGTGGGCCTACACATGAGGGGGCATGTTAAATGGGAAAATCCCACACTGAGTATAAAAGTAAGAAACTTGTGGGTTACATATAAGGAAGGTCACTCCACTTATTGGCAATAGGTTTTAGATTTGATACAAGCCTTGTGTTGAGCCCACATGCCCAATTTTTCACATGGTATCAAAGCCCAAATTCTATTATGAGAAGCCTATTGTTAACCCAGCTGACAGGATTCGAAGTTGATATCGAGCTTGCATGTAAGAGGGAATATCAAGCCACATAACAAAACTACATTCATAACGGGTTTGCACGTGAGAGGGGTGTTAAGTGGGAGAATCTCAAATTGTGTCTAAAAAGTAAGAAACTTGTGGGTTAAATACAAGGAAAATCACTCCACCTATTACCAATTGGTTTTAGGTTGGATGCAAGCCTGTATTGAGCCCACATGCAAAATTTTCACAAGGGAATGGAAGTTCCAAAGAATGTTTCTGCTTAAGATAGGTGATTAGCTTGAAATTTTTATCTTTTTAGATATAGATATAACTTGTATATACTTGGAAATTTCTCTACACTTTTCTATATATTTTTCTCATTAAATGGTATATATTTTGCTAGTTAATTCATTAGGATTAGTGTAAAGTCAATATTGTGAAAACTAATTTCTGGTTCCTGGTTTTCTGCATTACTTTGCAACTGAACTTTTTAAGTCTATATTGCATAAGCATTTGTAAGTTTGTGACTGAATACATGTTTTTAGACTAAATCGTAGTCTCTTGAACTCTTATTATGTCTAAGGAGATCATTATGTATATCAGTCTGAAATAAGTTGCACTTTGAGCATGCCTTTTAGATGACTTGTACATAGTTTATAATTTGATTTGTATTTAAAGTTTTCCATAGCATTTATCTAAAGTTTTCCATTCAATAAATTTAAACTATTTTAAAACTAGAGATGTTAACCTCGTTTCAAAATGCTAAAATGCTAAAATACTCTGCAAAGTTAGTTTCAAAATCTTCTAGTAGTTAGGTTTCACAATCCTGTTTTGTTTTTTCTAATTGCATGCGTGAAGGCCATTGTGGTTTTAAGTCATTACTTCTTACCTTGAGGTCCCTAGGGAGTACAGGGTATGGGTTATGACCATTTTTGTCATGGAATATCAGTTTATGCAGATAGAAAAATGACGTGCAATCACAGACTATGCATGTTATTACTATTGATGAGGGTTTCTCCATATTAGGGTATTCCCCCTCCAACAATACTTACAAACTGTGTAGTTCATGTAAGGCAGATTGCAAAACAACAATTTCTTATGCAAAAGAGGTTAGAAGTGAAAAGAATGATCGTTTGAAACCAAAGAGTTCATTTTCCCCTTTTTCTTTGTCATTGAGAATGTGGTCATCCATGTTTAGACATGAAAATATTGTCTTCCTGCCAATTATTCGCTGACACTTAGGTAAATTTTCATGCAGCTTTTAAACGTTCTACTTGAAAATGCAGCTGATTCTTGGCATCTGGATAGGCTTACGGTGGCTTAGTTAAGGTCTCTATGTTGACAAATTTCTCAAGTTCCACTTGTCCCTTCCTCATTTCTTCCTGCACCTATTAAACGTTCAAATTTGCTGGCAATCAGTTACTTCTAGAGAAGTTCTGTAAATTGAAAGCATAAAAGCAATGACCAGCGGAGGACTTATGTGTATACAACTGCGTATGTGGGGAAATTATAGAATGATAGGCAAAATTGTGATCAGAAGTCCTTGAAACTGCGTTGAAGATATATCCAATAGCTTCTCCACCTATCTTCAATTGGCTTCAAATTGTACTGTATGTCTTAACAAAATGCTAGGAGCTTAAATTATCTCCAGCTTTAATTCCCACTCCAAAAAGCCAAAAGACCTGTAAGCAAACAAGCCAAAGAAAACAACATTTGCATCTTAATGATCCAGCCGTTTTACTTAGATTTCTAATTTAGTACCAAATTAGGAAAAAAAAATGTTAGAATATTACTTACCCTCCTGACAAGATTTGGCAGAGGCAGAAGTCTCCCAATTCCTTTGATGGTAAGCTCCAGTCACGTCGAACCATATCAAGACCTTTACGTTAAATGACCTGCACCAAAAATGATTTACAACACTAACGTTTCCCAAAGCCATCTTACCCAAGGAGCAGAAATATTTTCAAAATTACCTTTTCTAGTTTACCATCCTTGAACTGCACCTTGACAGCTGAATATTTGTTCTTCTTGAGAAGCAACATTCTCTTGAGCAAGCCTCAATTTCTAGGCACCTATACTTCTTGTTAACCTTGGTACAAAAAGGCAGAAAAGTTACTCTACAGATAAGGTATGAAGAATAACAAGAGAATACAAAAAGTGATTTGTTTGGGAGACGAATTTGCCATAGGTAGGAGGCAGCCATCGTCTGATTCTAAATACGGACTTCTTTAATGGCATTGGCATCTAAAGCTTCCAAAAAGACAAAATCAAAACTTTGGACACTTGCTTAACAATTGTAATATCATCAAATTGATTAAAAAGGAAAGGTAAAAGGCTAGGGATATGTATCTTTTCAAGACCAACAATTGGTAGTTGGAATGCATGCTTATTACTAATGGATAAGTTTTTATTTAAAGTTTCAAACAACTATTCAGTGAATCTTGTCAATCTAAGTCCATCTTTGCATCATTGTAAAAGCAAAGGATATAAAACAGCAAAAAAGTGGAAGTTCTATAAATTTAATCTGTTGAAGAATACAATAGGAAGGCCCACATGTGAACTATATAAGATGCATAGATAAAACTCTCCAATAAGCAAATTACATAGGATCGTGACCTCACCTCATGGATGACTTGTCCTGCATTTTTTTTTTTGGGGGGGCTCCTGAAATAGCATCTTTTCCACTGTAAATCATAATTGAATCTGTAACAACATAAATTACCCGCAAAATACAAGAAAATGGATCTTTAGGTGCTCAATATGATGAATGATGGGGACATGAATATGAGAATGTTTCATTCACAACTTCTAGATCTGAATGGATTAGCAATAACCTCAAAATTCAAATTAGTCTGAACAAGATTAACAGTACTTTGTAGAATCTCCCTCCCCTGCACAACAGTCAAGCAACTTTGCTCAAATAAAAAGAAAAATATGCCATAGTGAAAAATATGCCATAGTGAAAAATAATAAAAATAATAAAATAAAAATAAAAATATCTTTCTACTTTACACTACAATACGATGGTTCCTAGCAGTTTCAGCTCAAGCTATTGGCAATCCCTCTTACTTGCTGTGTTATAAGCTCTGCAAAAGGTTTTGCATAAAATCTTGAATTGGAAAGCCCAAGGCATCCATACATACTGCATAGCCATTAATATCAAAGCAGAAATAAGAAACTATCATCAAAGGACAAATATGAACTGTGCAAATAAAAATTTACAAGGTAATAGCGACTCAACCAGCAATAAAATTCGAAAGTTCTTCAGGGTTATACCAGAAACACAACATAAAATCCAATCTTCAGTAAATTTCCTAAAGGATAGCAGATATACATTTCATCCACTTAACCAGATAAATAATAATGAAATGAATAAACAGACCTATTTGCAGTGAGCTTTCAAGCTTGCTGCTGAATGTCAAGCTGCTGTACTTTTGATGCCGGCTGCAGTCTTCATCCATGACTTAACCATTCTCCTTCTCTGAACCAAATTTTTGAGCAAATACAAAAGGGAGGTTTTAAGCTTATCCACCAAACTTGAGCACCCAAACTGGAAGTAAATACTTGGTGCAGACGATCATATTGATAGTGCTTGAACAAGTATAGGAATCAATGTCACAGCTAAACAGCAAGCATATGGGGCTTCATTTTTTTTTTTTTTTTTGGGTGCCAAAATTTGAGATGCAAGCATCTGTGGTTTACGGCGTATGTTTCAAGGGGTGCAACTTTCACTTGAGCTCTGTGGGTGTATTTTAATTTGATTGGTCTGCTTCACAGGGCTGTGAGCCTTGATTTATATCTCCGAAAATGCTTGGATCCACCATCAGTTCTGGAACAAGAGATTGTTTCGGTTTTTCTAAGGGTGTTTTATTAAATTAAGGTAGTTTTTAGGCCCCTTTTTCCTAATTTCTCAGTTAATACATATGCTGTAAGCATCTGTGGCTTACAGCATCTGTAGTTTTTAGACCACTTTATACCTCGTAACCAGAAGAACATTGAAGCAGTGCTAGTTCTTTCCATCTTTTTTCCATAAAGCACAAATAACTTCATTGCTTCATCGAGAGCCTCGGCAAGCAGCAACAGTGGAAGAAAACAGGATGTTTTTGACCACGTTGATCCAAGTATCCTATGACCTAATCCTTTACAAGGATGGGGCATATGGACAGTTCTCTGTGTGTGGTAATGAGCTTTTGGAGCAAATCAGTGGTAGGTCTCGGGGAAGGGCAGTTCCGGAGATATTTATTTGACGACATGTTCGCATTCAAGGTGGTGCAGATCATTCATGAAGCTCATGGTGCAGGAGTAGTTGATGATGCTTCCTCAGGTTCAGATTAGATGGAGGCTCTAAAGAAAGAACTAGTCATTTTTTAGATGATGATGCTTAAGTTGATTGTGCTAGGAACTTCTGAAGGACATACATCATCAGGGATATTAGCTAGACATTTAAGACTAACCTCATTTTTGTGGCCTTGAGCAAGTAAGGCAGAAGCCGCCTAGATATTGAATTACTAGACAATAAGATTTGGTCACAAAAAATTTCTTAGCAGTTGAGATTCTGCTGTGTGCTTAAGCTTAAGTCCTATCAAAATTCAAATCAAATGTAGTAACGGCAACAACATTTCAATCAATTAACATGACAGATTGCATTTCGTACTGTCTACATTTCAGCAAGTAAAAGCTAGAGCTAAGAACCCTGACCACAACACCCAGCTTGTATGGTTTGATATATTGTTGTCATTATTTGATACTTGCCCTAGGAATGGACGATGTACAAGGCCCAGCTGAAGTCATAATGGAATTCCCTTGGATGTAATAAGACCAACTGTGAACATTACGTGTTCGCCCTTATCAATCATAACATTAGCCGACGTTGAAGTGAAGTAAACGTGAAGCAATCTGAATTCGTTCATAGATTTCAATCTACTATCAATTTCTGAAAACGCAACAATTAAGCATGATTCTCAAATTTTTAAAGAGCAAGAGTTTAGAATATTCCACTGACATCAGAAGCAGTGATGTTAGCAAGACATTTAAGACTAATCTCATTCTTTTGCTAGTCATTTTGACATACATCTGAAGGACATAAAACAGCTTCAATTATGAATTCAAGATGCACACATTTGTGGCCTTGAACGTGCCATTGAAGAATTCCTCTACTTCACTAGGAAAGAAAAGGTGCATTGAATTACTTCCATCAAGAATGTTAGGTAGTTCTCTTTCTTAATCATTGCAGTTTAAGATTTTAGTTGGAAATCCCAAATTCAAAATTATTACTACTGTAAAAAATGACTTGAAAGGAAAGAGTACTAAAATCTGATGTAATAATCACTTGAAAATGATCAGCATATTAGATATTTAGACACATCAATTAAATCCCATTCATCTGTTGAATGATAAAAAAATGCTCAACAAAAAGGAAAGAAGCTATACATATATTTACATCTAAATCTACATGAAAGGAACGCATCAACGAGTCAAACTGTAACAAAGAGGTCCTTCATCAGTACCCAGCCATAAGCACACCGGTCCCGTATCCTTTGAACTGTAGATGCAACTGAATCAACCACAGGCCGAATCCTAGCCAATTCCTTCTCAATATGTACCCTAGCAGTAGTCTCCATCTGCAACCCCTAGAAAAAATAATAATAATAATTAAAAGGAAAAAAAGGGGGGAGGTTCGAGACCCTAGTGATCCCAATCACAACAATGGATTTACTTCCAACTCATTATAACAGCTAAAGAGAGCGGATACCTTTTCTAAGCAGCGCACTGTATCCAATAAATGGCAGAAATATGCAAGTTGCTTGTATAGATCTGCTTCTGTGTACTGGTGATGGGCACACGAAACAGAGATTTATTCAGTAAATAGTGAAAAGTAAATTTGATGGAAGAGAAAGAATAAGCATTTGAATTCATGGGTCCTGTTAGCAAACCTTTCTTACTAGACGGCCATTGCAGCGGGGATAGTTTGGACAAACTGTTCCTTTTTCAGAATCACCAAGCAATCGCAAGTTGAGACTGCGAGTGGTGTGGTTACAGCTTTCATCATCACACTGAAAGCGGAGTGAGCTCATTATCAGATCATTTGCCACTAAACACAAATTTTCACTAGTTGCTTTTTCCATGCAATATTCTACAAGAGTTAGCTTACCATCATTATGCCCTTATAGTACAATGAAACAAATCCATCTGCTTGCCTTTTGACCTGAATGACAGCCAAACAAATCTTCAGCAGATATAAATAATCTTCACTCTATGATGTAGTTATGAATTCTCGCAAGCCACTTAATGGAAGATGATACTTTGACATTTATGGTTGCAGACCTAATTAGGTGGCTTCCGACCAAGATAGCTATTAAATAGTGAATTATCACCTAGAGACTAGTTTTTGTATTTATATTAGGAAGGTTAGAGATACCACATGAGGCGAAAGCTCAGCAATTACCTGGTTTGATATCATGCCGGGAGACATTCTACCTACATCACCTTCTTCTGGGCAGTTAGGGCAACGCAGCCTATGCCAAAAATTGAAGGTAGGTTCCTCGTTTGTAAGTTGTGTTGACTTTTCACTGATTGACGTGTAGATGGAATTGAAAACAGAAGGACAGTCAAAAGTATGGGAACAACTGGGACATGACAGAGTTAGTGGCTGACAACCCCGATATCTGCAATGCAAGACATGAAATGCATTAATTATTTTCCTTTTTGCATTAATGAAATCAAGATTTTACTGTGATAAACTTGGTTTGAATTTTGAATTTCAAATTAATCCTAGAAAATGGGAAAACGTAATGCAAATAACTGCTAAAGTTTCACCAGAATTAAGTGCACCTTCCTCCGTCATGACTAGATAATTCCAAAATCCCAACTCCAAAGGCCAGTTACAAAATAAGAGCATTGGAAGAATTACAGTAATGCAATGAGAAATAAAAGAACTTGGACACTATTAATAATTACCTCTCTTCATCATCTAAAGCAAAAGAGAGTGCAGTAGAAGAGTATTTGCCATCAGCCTCACTTGATTTTCTTTGATACTGAGAAGAAGGTAACAAGATACAGATCATTGGAAATGCAGAATAAGTATACAACTACTCCGTCAAAGTTAGGCTGGCATGAAGGAATTACCTTGGATGAGTCAAGTCCTAAACAATCAGCCAAACGCTCGGGGCTTGTACCTTCTATTGAAGCACACAAACGAGATACCACAGGATGTATCTGCTGTGACAAGTAATAGTCAATGTCAATCATCCATTTACCCTCATCTCTTTTTAACTCATCAGGATGCCGGGCACGCTGGGCAATCCCTGTTGAATTACTCGTACCACTTCCCTATCCACAAAAAGAGAAGATATATCAAAGTGTGATCTCGGGGCTCAGTTAGTGCTGATTTAATAAGACAATAAATCATCCACCAACCTGCTCACAGCAAATTATATATGGCACTGTATCACCAGCCGAGCAACCACTAGAATAGCCACTTTGCTTCAATCTCAGAGCCACCTTGAGTATGGTCAAAGTAAAATCAAGAAAGCTTAGTTAAATGGTAGAAGAAATTATATAAATAAGATTAGACAAAGATATAATACACAAGGGATCAAAGTATCGAACCCACTTGAACATGTGGCTGATTCTTAGCATCTGGATAGGCTTCTGGTGGCTTAGTTAATGTCTTTGTGATGACATATTTCTCAAGTTCCACTTGTCCATTCCTCATTTCTTCCTGCACCTGTTACACACTCAAATTTGTAGGCAATCAGTTACTTCCAGAGAACTTCTGTTTATTGAAAGCATAAAAGCAATGGCCAGCAGAATGGGTTTATGTATACAGTTGCATTGTTGGGGAAATTTTAGAAACTGTGATCAATAGTCCCTGAAACTGAATAGGTGATATATCCCATAGCTTCTCCAACTATCTCCAATTGGTTTTGAGTTGTATTGTATGCCTTAATGAAACCCTAGGAGCTTAAACTATCTCCATCTTTAATTCCCACTCCAAAATCTAAGCCAAAAAAAAAAAAAAGAATAACAGTGATAATGGGCAATATCATCACCAACCTTCATGAGTTTATTGTGTATTGATTCAACAACATCATCACAAGACCTGCAAGCATACAAACCAAAGAAAACAACATTTGCATCTTAGTGATCCAGCCATTTTACTTAGATTTCTAATTTAGTAGAAAATTAGAGAAAACAAAAAATATGTTAGAATATTACATACCCTCCTGACAAGATTTGGCAGAGGCAGAAGTCTCCCAATTCCTTTGATAGTAAGCTCCAGTCACGTCGAACCATATCAAGACCTTTACGTTCAATGACCTGCACCAAAAATCTTTATATCACTAATCTTTCACAAAGCTAGGTTACCCAAGGAGCAGAAATATTTTCAAAATTACCTCTTCTAGTTTACCATCCTTGAACTGCACCTTGACAGCTGCATATTTCTTCTTCTTGAGAAGCAACATTCTCTTGTACAAGCCATCAAGATCAATTTCTAAGCACCTATACTTCTTGTTAACCTTGGTACAAAGAGGCAGAAGAGTTACTCCACACATAAAGAACGAAGAATCACAAAAGAATACAAAAAGTGACTTGTTTAGGAGATGAGGTTGCCGTAGGTTGGATGCAGACATCATCTGATGCTAAATAAGGACTTCCTTAGTGGCACTGGCGTCTAAAGCTTCCAAAAGGACAAAATCAAAACTTAGGACACTTGCTTAACAATAGTCATACCATCAAATTAAATTAAAAAGGAAAGGGTTTTGGCAAGGGATATCTTTTCAAGACCAACAATTGGTAGTTGGAATGCATGCTTTTTAATGGATAGGTTTTTATTCAAAGTTTCAGACAACCATTCAGTGAATCTGGTCAATCTAAGTCCACCTTTGCATCATTGTGCAAGCACAGGATATAAAAGAATAAAAAGGTGGAATTTTTATAAATTTAATCTGTTGAAGAATACGAAAGGAAGGCCCACATTTGAACCACATAAGATGCACAGATAAAACTCTGCAACAAGCAAAAGAAATAGAATCATGAGCTCACCTCCTGGATGACTTGTCCTGCAATCTTTTTGGCTTCTGCAATATCATCTTTTCCACTGTAAATCATAATTGAATCTGTATCACCATAAATTACCTGCAAAACACAGTAAAATGCATCTTTAGGAGCTCAATATGACGAATAATAGGGACATGAATCTGAGAACACTTCATTCACAACTTCTAGATCTGAATGGATTAGAAATAACCTCAAAATTCAAATTATTCTGAACAAGATCAACTGTACTTTGTAGAATCTCCCTTCCCTGCACAACAGTCATGCAACTTAGCTCAAATAAAAAGAAAAACATGCCATAATAAAAAAATAATAATCATAAAATAAAAATAAAACATCTGTCTACTTTATACTACAGTAAGTTGGTTCCTAGCAATTTCAGCTCAAGCTATTGGTAATCACTCTTACTTGTTGTGTTATAAGCTCTGCAAGAGGCTTTGCATAAAATCTTGAATTGGAAAACCCAAGGCATCCATACATACTGCATAGCCAGCAATATCAAGCCAAAATAAGAGAACGACCATCAAAGTACAAATATGAATTGTTTAAATAAAAATTTACAAGATAATAGAGACTCAACTAACAATAAAAATAGAGTTCTTCAGGGTTATACGAGAAACATAACAACAAATCGAATCTCCAGTAAGTTTCCCAAAGGGTAGCAGATATACATTTCATCTACTGAACCGAAAAAATAATAATGAAATGACTAAACAGACCTATTTGCAGTGAGCTTTAATGCTTGCTGCTGAATGTCAAGCTGCTGAATTTTGATACCGGCTGCAGTCTTCATCCATGACTTAACCATTCTCCTTCTCTGAACCAAATTTTTGAGCAACTACAAAAGGGAGGTATTAGGCAAATTATCCACCAATACTTGAGCACCCCAACTAGAAGTAAATACACGGTGCAGACAATGATTTTGATAGTGCGTTAACAAGTATAGGAATCAAAGTCATAGCTAAACACCAAGCACATGAGGCTTTTTTTTTTTTTTGGGTGTCAAAATTTGAGATGCAAGCATCTGTGGCTGACAGTATATGTTCAGAAAGAAAACAGAATTAATTAATCTTTGATTTGACTGATTACCCATAAAATGAGGCACAATTATTCATTATATAAATATAATCTTAACTGATCAACAAATTATTAACATAACTAAAAGTACTCAACTTCACACTTACAACTTAAATACATTTCTACGTTCCAAAATTCTTGAAACTGTAAATTGCTCCTACTTTCAACTACTTCTCTCACTGTTTCTGGAATTTCTTTCTTGAGGTGCATGTTATTGATTTATGGCAGAATTATACAAAAAACAAGATGCCCGATGATACAGTCAATGAATATAAGGTTTCACAATTGTGAGATTTAACAGTTGCAAGCAGTAGAAAAATTGACTTATAACATATAACTAGGCCATACCTCAGGTAGAATTCCCATTGTTTTACTAAGTGGTAAAATAGCTAATCCATCAGGAGATCTCTCAACTGTCGTAAAGCATATATTGTATTCCTGCAAAGTCAATGAATTGGTTATTCTCAATTCTCATTAAAGAAAACATACTCCATCAGAAAAAATTGCTATAGACCATAAAAGGAAAACATTCATCTTGGATGTTTGTAATCAAGATGGAGAAGAGTTGTAATGTTACTAACCTGAATAATAGAAGGGTAAAGGCTGTTGAAGTCCAGAAGCAATATATATTTGTCATACAAACCTCTTTTTGGTTCCAAAACCAGTCCACCAGCATAGGCAGGACCCTTTTTGCTTTTACCATGTTCATTATGAGTATCATCTTCAAAATTTGCATCATTAGCATCCAACTCATCAATGTGACCATCCTCAACACCACGATTTACCCTCCGCTTTGTAACTTTTGCTTCCTTCATATGAGAAGGAATCTTGTCTGGGACAATATACTTCTTTGCATGGAATGCATGCAATAAAAGATACTCCACTCTCTGTGCTCTAGCACCCTAAGGTAAACATAAATTAGAGGTAAGGTAGGCTATTTCTAGACAGTTAAGTCAACTGCAGGAAAACATTTTTGAGCCAAACAGAACAAGCATAAAAGAGAACTCACCTGAAGAGTTTTTCCCCAGAGATTACCACTGATATTTGTCAGCTGACGTGTAAGGGGAAGAACACTAAGATGAAACATGAGTTCCATAGATAACCATGCATCAGTCTCACCATATTCAATCTGAAAAGAACACAAGTACAATGAGAAGCAGAATAAGCCAGATTAGTTATAATCAAACCACATCATTTCCTAAGTTCTAAAATATATGAGAAATACTGATCAATCATCTTCAATTTTTTTGGCTTTCTTTTGTTTTAGCTGTTGCTTTCATTAATATTCCTCATGTTTAATGAAGTTCAAATGCAGTTCTAACAATTCTAAAAGAACCTTCCATGTTTACTAAGGAAATAATCATGTTGACTCCACCTCCCTTGGTTTCATCCATTTTTTGAGCCAATAAATCAAATAGAACCTCTTCCTGCAATCATAAAGTACCAAACAGGCAATGTGAACCTACAAGCTCCATTAGGGCTTCAGATGCTTGGAACATTCTAGGAATATCATGTGGAGCAATCTCCTTGCGGTCCTTCTTCAGCTGGGTCTTTGCAAGTTGTGTCAGGGAATAACTAACCTGGAAGAATCAGAGTTGCATAAGAAACTGATGTCAGTAGCATCATGAAGACATTTTAGAATATAATAGAACAAGGTTACAAGGGACATACCTCTTTCAACAGGTCACGGGAACACAAATATGTATCACATAGAAGACGACCAGCAATACAAGACATGATCCCTGGGCTTGCTCCAGATCCAAAAATGGTACTTCCTTTAGTAAGCTTAGGCATAATGGAACGCTTGAGACGGCCAATTTTTGACCACATGCTGCTTGGCACCCTGCAAGCCTGCATAAACCAACATATAGGGCTATATGGTGTCAATAACAACTCTTTCTGTTTATATCTGAAGAAGCAAGAACCTTGCCCTTAGAAAAATTATACCTAGCAAGAAGATTAATTGAATAAATAAAATTGTTCAGTGCCATCCAATAAGTTGGTCACACAGGACAGGAAATGATAAAAGTAAAAAAAAGGAAACTAAATGGTTCATAAATGCTTTTCCTCATAAGATTATCAGTGTTTATAACAAATTCTTGTTTGGTACCAACTCACATGTGTTGCACCAAGCAGATTATATCAGTTATGCTAACAAGAAACTTCAATAAACGTTTAGATGGCTAGGTGGCAGTTATGACCTTGATTTCAGAGACATGGGAGATGTGACAGTATTTCCATAATTTTTTAGCCCACTGGAATGTCTTTTTTTCGGTGAAATGTGAATTTATTACTAAATTAGAATGTCAAAAGCACCTTAAAATTATTTTCAATAGAAAGACTTCAAAACTGTCTGTACCTGGGCTCTATGTAGAAGAACATCAAGATCAAATCCAGATATGTTATGTCCTACAAGAACATCGCTGTCAAGCTTGTGTAATTCAATCATCAGCCGGTTCAGCAAAGCTCTTTCACTGTAACAAAACGGTGAAGATTCTTCAGTGATTGAAACTGAAATTATAATGCCGCATTATCACTGTGCTACAGGAAACAATCAAATGGCTTGACAGGACACAAGGTAGACACTTGCCTGCTTTCAGAGACTAACACATTTGATCCGGCCTTTGAATTTCTATCTGTCACCTCTTTGGAAAAACCCAATGGAAATATGCCTCCATCAAGTTTGCGGACAACAGTAAAATGGCTAAGCATACCAGGTTTCTTCCATTCCAAGGCCAGCATAGGAGTGTCGATCTGAAAAGACAAACAGTGAACATAGTATAACCTCACTAAACAGTTCATATCATTGAAAGAGGAACATCCGCATGAAATTCAAAAGGTTGCATCAGTTTTTTTTCCAGTAGATTAGCCAGTCAATTAGTAGATTCATTGCCAATCAAAAAAAAAAAAGTAGATTCATTTTTTAAGCTGTTAAGTATTTAAGTGAAAATGCATCAATTATGATCAGTTATAAAATTCCATGATGTTTAGGATTGTTTTGTAAGCAGTAGAATAATGGTTGACTCTGAAAATTACCTTATGACAGTGAAGAAAGATGGATGTACAATGAACCAATGACTGAAAATAAGTTGATCACCCACACAAACCTTACTTTCAAAATGAAAGTAGCATTACCAGCAAAGCCTCTTAAACTAACCTTGGCCCTTCGACAACAGACAATAGATGCTGACACTATTTCATTTATATTCTGCTTCTCATTGATTATAGTCTTCAAATTTATTGCTGAAACAACCACTGGAGGAATCTCCAATGTGCTCTTTGAGGACGATGAGCCCTTTATGTCTTTGGGAGAATCTACAATAACCTCAAATTTGCACCAGCTAACCTGTCAAAGTATTTAACCAAACTGTCAGTACAGAAAATGAAAGGACAGATGAAAAAATTCTCCTTTTTTATCAGCATGAAGAAATTCATATGCACAACTCAAATAACTTTTCCAAATTAAAGAAGATACCTAAATTTTAGATTCTTACTCTCTGAGGTGCTGGACAGCTAGAAAATTTTGAGATTGACAACCAAGAAGGTCCTTTCACCCTCCTCTTAACAAGGAAAAGCTCCAAAGCACTGCAAAATGACACCAGTAAGCAAACATTCTCCTGAAGACCTTTGGTCCTAAAATGTCTACCAACTACAGAGATAATTATAGTTATAGCCCAAAAAACTTGGGTTTTCTGAAAAATAATCAAGTCAAAGTGACAATCATGAATTTTAAAGTACTTTTAATAGTGTACAATGGTACACCTTATCTTGTAGCTAAATTGGTATCCATCAGAGATCAGCTCAAATTTCCTCATCTCCAATATCAAAGAATAAAATAAAATAATGAACCTTGGCATTTCACAAATGATAAACATGGGATTATTGTGGGCTGCTCAATTCGGTTTATAACAGGTAATCTTAGCAGTTAAAAAATGCACATAAACTCACACTTTTACCAATATTGTAATGATTCAGGGGCGCAAAGATTGAAAAGCATGAGATTAGCAGCCAAACAAAGGAAAATGTTTCAGTAGATTGATCATAAGGGATGCATACTATAGGCGTCAGTACAATTGATAACTGGCTAGTATATATAAACATGTGCATATATAATTTCAGTGAAAGACAAGAGACAGCAACACATTCCAAAATAAAACAGTGGTCATTGCTAATTGAAGATATGTTCTAACAGCTTATACCTGCAGTAAGTCCCAAGTAAAGCACAGAAAGTTTTTCCTTTTAGATCTGCCGGAAGTGGTGGGTCCTGCAAGGGTGAGAAAGGGAAAAAATAAATACGCAATCAACAATACAGTGACATTGAAATTAAAAAAAAAAATTGCAGAGCACCTAAGTGAAGTGAGGTTTCATACTGTAAATTCTATAGAAGTAAATATTATTCATTGATATTTGAAATTTGAAAATAAACCAAATGTCCAGGCCACTCTACTTGATTTGCTAATCAAGTGACGTACCTTGAATGGATAGTTGATCTTGAGAACATAATTCTCCCCAACAGGTATGTCAGATCGCTCGAATGCATAATTCCTCTGAAATTTGACCATTTACTTTTAAAAAAATAAAATAAAATGAAACAGAAAAAACGTGGGTAGAAAATACAAAGCGGATGAAAAGAATGGAAGCATATAAGTTAAACATTTAACTTTCAAGACTCAGATTTACTGAATTCACAAACCTTAACTGGTGCCATGCTAAAACTTGAAACATTAAAATTTAACAAGTGTTCTGCAATTTCATTCTTCAACCCTGATGCCACATCCTTAGAAATTAACAAAAAAAAAAACATTAAATGCAGTCCACAAAAAGATATGTGAGAGAGAGAGAGAAGAGAAGAGAAGAGAAGAGAAGAGAAGAGAAAACAAGGAGACTATAAGAATAAGATGTAGGAAATAACTTTTTCTATGAGCAAAATGTAGGAGTTTACTTACTTGCAGCTTTCTTCTGAAATCTGAGGGAGAAATCTGTGACTCTTCAGCTTCTTTCTCAAGCTTCAGCATCTCCTCATTGTGAAATATAGCATTATCTGGAATTGCATAAACACATCTCTGCATGTTCTTTACAACCACGCAACAACTCTGGTATGCACTACCGACTTTGACCTGAAAAGTAATTATGTATTTTAGATGACCAACTGCATTTCTTTCTTGGGATAAATATCAGCAGATCACCAATGATATAATGCCCAAGTAAAAGCAATTACAAACTTTAAGAATTAGTGTTCTGTCATCTACAAGTCCACAAAACCACCCACCAACTAGTGCACATAACCAAAGAAAATTAACAACATGGAGAATGTCTAATTACCTTCCCAAAGAGATAGACAGTACCAATATTAGCACCACGCAGTTGCTCCTCATAAGCATCAATTATGTAGAAAGGTAGTGAACCATCCGCATCAAGCTCAAAATCAGATTGCCCTTCACCATTATATCCCTCCTTCCCTTCTACAAAAACACCCACATTCCCGTTCCCCTCACTCTTCACTGCTTTCCACCCTGCCGTTGCACTCAAACCTGTGTCCTTCTCCTCCTTTGAAATCTTGGCATTCAGCTTATGTACAACCTCCTCCTCTTTCTTCTCCACTGGCTCCACCTTTATTTCAACATCAGCCTCCACTCTCTCCTCTATTACACTTTCCTTAACAGAATCATCAAATTCTGCAACTATTCCATCACTCTTCTCTTTCTCTTCTTCCAACACCAAATTCTCCTCCGCAAATCCACGACAATCCCCATTCGCAACTAACCGATTCTCACTCTGATCAGAGCGAACCACCATGGGAACCGCCACTGAGCCCCTGGAAGCAACCAAGTGACCGATTTGGCCCCGCCTACGCCGCTCCCTATCAGACTCATCTGGCGCAAACTGCTTGATAACATCATCGACAATGCTCTCGCATTTGACCTTATCGGTTTCTTTACTCTTCTTATTAAAAGATGAGGAAGTAAACATTGAAGACAACCTTTGTTTCCCAATAATCGCTGCTGCAGCTGATAACTCAGCACTGCTCTTGTTTGGCTTGCTACTATTTTCCTTCACCTTTTTCTCAACCTTCTTTCTCCTTAAAGAAAACCCTTCGCCATCAGATTCATCATCAGACAAGAGAGAATGGGCAGCCTTTGTCCAGTCCTCTTCACCGCCATCATCACAGTATCCAAGATCTCCGTCTGCATCGTCGGTCTCTATGAAATCCGCTGCCTCCTTCCGACGCTTGTTCACGAGCTCTTCGTACTCGTCATCCTCCATGAGTTCGTAGATTGGCTCATCGAGCTTGATCTCATAACCAGTCGCCGAGGAGGACCGACGGCCACCCTGCCGGAGGGCTTTGAGGCGCTCGAGGGCTCCAGCGCGCTTCTCCGCTTCCACGCCACGACCCCGGCGACGGCCGCCGGCTCCAATAGGTTGGTCATCCTCCATGTCCTCCGATCTCTGTAAGGATACTCTTTTGATTCTGATGAATTTCTCCGCCTAGGGTTTACGGCGATTGGGGACATGAAATGAATTTGGGATTATAAATGGCGGGAGAAGTTCGTAGGTTTTGGCGCCAATTTCATAAGATTTTTCTTTTTATCTTTTTTCTAGAATTTTAAGTCCCGTGTAGTGTACTGTATTTGTTGGCGCGTCGCAGCCGGGGACAGAACAAGCAAACGCCGTTTTAGTCTTTGACTTTACGGCGATTAAATGTTCGATGAAATGCCTCACAGAATGAGCAGGACTTCGGGGCTGCCTCAACTCAAAAAACCACAGCGAAGCATCAAAATTGGCAAATGGACATATGCCTGATCGATCAGTTACCACTCTCCATGAAAATTAAATTAAAACTTCACAGACATTAATCCATGGAACACTAAAATCAAAATAAGAAATTGAAAATGTATTTTATGATTTAAATTATTCTAAACTATAAAACACTAATTATGTGATAAAAAAAGTATTTAATATTAAAAAAAAATTTCCCATCATATTTTACAATATAAACCATAAAACAGGACATCCATAGAGGATTCTTTTATTTTTATGCAATTTTCATGATTAATTCATACTATAACTGACATGAATAAAAATACATCTGCAATAAAATGCTCACGAAAAAACAGGGTAACTAATTCGAGTAAAGACACATTATGTGGTTCAAAAAAATATACAAGGACAACAGTAGAGAAGGAAACCGGAGACTATTAGTACAACTGCAACAGAAGATTGGTGACTAAAATTGTTCCCAGCAACCACTGCAATGAGGCTGTTCTGCTGTCTCTAGGAGCAAAGCTGGAGGGAACTTGTGTCTGCGTCGGTGTGGTTGATAAAGCCGCAGGTGGAGGTGGAGAAATGGGAGGGATATCGCAGCTAACGGATGTTCCATTTGCCTGTTCATATACAACAACTTGCAAGTTCAGCAATAGTTTCGAAGAGGGATTTTTATCAGCGAATAGACAAAATTTGGAAGCAAACCTTGCAGTAAGCTATACTGTCACAAGCACAAGTGAGATGACCATTTGCCTCATCCACAGCTTCTGGAGCTCCTCCGCCATCACTCATCTGCAACAAAGATGAACAGAAGTTTACAAATTCTGTTTGTGTAACCAACAAACTTAAAGGGTTACTGAACAATAGATCAATCCAAAAACCTGGTAAAAATCTACAGCAATGAAGTTCGGCCATCGATCTCCAGCTGCTTTATAACAGGTGTTCATCATGCTGATTAAAGGAGCTGAATTGTTCGCACAGGCTTCTATCACATTAGGATTAGTAGGGAAGAAGTTCTGAAGAACTAGAGATACATTTTTGGTATCCATAGGAAAAGATTCAGCACGACTTGGACATGAACCCGCTTGCGTCCCTTCATCTCCATCTACAATTTTAGCCCACCCACATCTTTCAGCTTAAGTTTGCAACTTCAGTATTTACTTAGTGCATTACAGAAAAAGAGTTGAACTCACATTGGTTTTCTACAACGTATCTCCATTCATAGGCTATCCCTTCAGATGTCTCCTTAGATGATTTGGAGGTGAAAACAACCAACCGCTGGTTCTGCTTCACCATATCATCCACCGAAGGCCAATCTTCACCATTCTTGGGCATATTTGACACTGGAAACCAGTATTTATTCAAACCAGAAGCATTGAAAACCTTGGTCAAGCCTTGTGGGGATGTGACATAATCTTCAATAAAGATGGTGATGATCTCTGAAGGGTTTGCTTCCATAAACGTTTCTATCTCTTTCAGCACGTTAATGGCGGGTTGCTGGAGATAATCAAAACGATCAAATCTAAGTTTCAGAACCCACTATCGTGGAACTATTCAAATTAAGTCAAATGAATGCAAAAAATACTTTCTTTGAACTTACAAATGCCGTGAAATTGTAGCAATTGCCACCGAATGAGTGACATAACCAGATGTCATTCTCGAAGTCATACATATCTAGCATAAGTCCTCGAACCCCATTCTACAAGAAAATAAATACATTTCTCAACATATCAGTCCTAGATTGCCTGTCTATAAAACAAAAAATTAAGAGTGATGATCAAGTCCGAAGATTAGAATAAATTGAGATTTTGATTCAACTTTAAAAAGATTTTCTCTATTGTAAAAGTTAAAACTAAACCAGATAGTTGAACACGGTTATTTTAAAAATGCTTTCAGCTTCTCTAAACATTATTTTTAACTTAAATATATTTTTTATTGTTAAGCTTTTATAAGTTTAATCCCTGTTATCAATTTTAACATTCACTGTGAATTTATAGAAATTCATAGTTTAGCACATTTCTACGGAAACTTTTCACAAACAACACTATAACAAAAGTTCTAATCCAACATGAGTTCTACAAAATCTAGTCAAGCCAAACACACTAAAGAAAAGTTCCAATCCGACATCAGTTCTGCAAAATCTAGTCAATCCAAACACACTATAAGAAGAAACCTTCGACAGGGTTGTCAATTTCTTATGGATCATTGTGCATGAAGAAAGTAAAAGGATTCAAGAATGGACTTTGATTAGCCGGAATGCTTATATCTTAACATAAAGGCTAAAACGAAAGACCAAGGATCATAAGCATATTATATCTGCACTTTTGCATCGGCAATCAAAAATTTCCTTTCACTTTTGAGCATCAAGCATATTTCTTTTTTATTAATTTAGAATCAACTAAGTAGACTATTTTCATTAAAAAAACCCAAACTTAAAACTTATTTAAAAGAGCTTTATTTAAAACTTTATTGAAAGAGAATTGAACTCTTTCTACTAAAACTAACAAGTTGTTGGTGCATTAGCTTGCTATTTATGATAAAACATCAAAATGCCCTCATAAATACACTTCTTAAAACAAATTCAACAATAAACAAGGGCATTTCAGTCACATATGACACTAATGAACCAAGCCGGGCATTTGTCTATATGGGATTGGATAAGAATCAGCATAAAAATGCTTGTCTTAAGTAATTAAAGATTTAATTAAAGATTTTTAGATAAGAAATTATTTAAATTTAAAATGTAAAAAAAATTTATTAAAAATATATTACTATTTTCTCAATTCAAACTACTCTTTCTTATGCAATTAATATTGAAAAACATAGTTAATGATTTAAATAATTTAGTATAATTTTTTTTATTAAAAATAAAAAATCTTAAATTTAAATTAGATGATATACCAAAGGATTATTTCTTATTATAAAATTCAAAACAAAAAAAATATATATTGAAAAACATATTTTTGAAACAAACAATTACTGTAGAATTTGGGTAAGACTTTTAAATTAAGGGTACATAACCAGTAATTAAGGAAATAAAACTTACATTTAGTTGGCTGGTAACGGAGTCATCCTGGTTAGTGGGAGAGAGAATGCTGGATCCAGTTTCCGATTTTGCCCCTGACAGCGCGTAAGAATTGTGCGTGGTTAACCATGAATAGTGGTTAAATGGCAGCCCTTTCACCTAATCAACAACGAAACCCAGAATTATTCAATTCAACAAAATCAACTGCAAAACTTTTATTCATTTATTTAACCCCACAAATTGCGTACCACTGATGTCGGGTTGAGTGGTTGGATCCGGGTGCATCTGGGGCGAGTATTGCCGTTGGCAGGGCAGGTCTGGCATGTTAACCCGGCGTCACAGGCGGCGCCGGAGCTTGAAGAGTTCGAACATGTTTCTCCAATCTGGATAGCATGCAAGAAGTGTGTAAATGTTTAAATGCATGAGTTGGATGGAGAAATGGATTGGGGAAAATTAACAAAATGGATTCTTTACCTTGAGAGATGAAACAGAGGAGAAGAAACAGAGGATGATGAATGGAAGTTGGAGATGGGAGAGATTGAATCTCTGCGTATAGTAACAAAGAAACAAACATCAAAGAAAATTAAAGAATAAAAATCATGGGTTTCAGCCTTTCAGGTGCATGGGCTTCAAAGAGGAAACAAATAAGTAAGAGAATTCATTGTTCATACTTCATACCTTCATTTATGGCGATGCCTGTTGGCCTCAATTTGAGGTTACTTTGCTATTAATTGATTTTATTAAAATGAATGAGAGTTTTGAAATTTGATTCATATAAAGATTCAGTTTGCGGCCGCCGTTTTTTAATTTAAAAGAACTCTAGAAAAATGTTCTGCCAAACGTGTCCTAGCATTAATATGATTGTTGGAATTTCTACATCTAGAAGGCATGAAAATCAACATAGGATTTGGTCCTCTAATAAAATTCTTTTTAAACACAACAGAAGGATTTTTCATTTGTTCCTATTACATATAAATCCCTTGTCCATGTGTTGCAAAATACCAGGTCAAATGAAGGAATTGGACCTCTTCCGTTTCTTCTGTGACTGGGTTATCTAAGACGGTATGTCATCTCATTCTTTGTTTTAATTTAATTTGTTAAAGGAAATTTGTAACCCTGCCCATAAGGTAAAAGCCAACAATATATTAATTATATATTTTTATAATTAATTTACATTAAAAACTTAAAAAATAATTTTAATTTTATTAATTGTTAAATTAAAAATATACATATAATATTAACTATTAAAGTAAAATTAATTTTTATAAATTTTTTTAAAATTAAATAAAAATATATATAAAATACAAGTTAGATATACTCTTTTCTTAAATTGTTTCTCACTACCTATATCGGTTCTTGTTTTCAGATAATCTTTTTTGAAATAAAACAACCCTTTTCAAATCAGATACCGTTCTTTAGAGAGTTTTGATTGAAATCACTGTTTTACTATCAGTAATAAAAATACATTATCATTACCTTTATGCAGAATAATTCCTCTCTGGAGCATCATAGCAAACTGCGAAGAGAGGCACTCGCCAAAATGGGCCGGACTCAGCTTCCAGGTGAGAACCAAAAACACCTGAAATGTAACTAGATACTGAAAGGAGGTTTTTCTTTTTGGCCCAGGTCAAAAAGAGCTTGACGTGAGGAAAAGCCCATTAAACTCAGCTTACAACCCAGCTGGAGTCTGTAGCTAAGTTGTTCATGTAGAATGGCACTTTTAAGTCAATATAATATAAAATAATATATAAATAATCTATCAAAACAATTTTTTTTCCTGTTTGTCTTGTGTAGATTGCAAAACAATTAACTATTGATAGAGAGGTAATCTTCTAATACTAGGTGCCTGTCTCTTTCATCAATAATTAACTGAAATATAATCTACTTAAAGTGAATTACATTTCATTTTTCTAATAATTTATATAATTAAACATAAATAATTTTTGTGCAACTTACACCAAATTGCAAAATAGTTTGGTGCAAATAGGGCTAACACAATCTAATGATAAAAACCATACTCAAACTGGGAATCCATGGACAAAAGTACATTAAGGTACAGAATTTTGTAGAGGAAGGTAATAATTATACACACTTTATTTTCCCCATAAATCTCCTGATGATTTTTACAGTTCCCATGTAGTGTTTGTGAAAAAATTATGGATAGTTTTATAAGAATTTTTTTTTTTTTTTAAAGTGAGAGATGAAGTTGCTTTGCTGGTCATAAAATGAAGAAGAGGTGGGCTATGCTGTTTCCATTAATCATAGGAAAAAAGCAAGGGAGTTAAAAGAAAGTAGGGGAATTTGGCTATTGTCTACTGAAATTAATAAAAGGAACAAACAAAGCTACAGGAATAAAGGTAAACTTTGAAATCTTTAAATGTTGGCTCTCTTCCTTTTCTTGTTCATGTATGATGCTGTCGTTGTCTTTTATCAAATCATCATGGCTACTTTTATTGCCAAGACATTTCCAGAGAAGAGCATTGTTCTGCCATGAATTTTCTCAGGGTTATACTCATCCTTTTGTTCACAGTCTCCTTTCTTTCTTCAGTGTCAGCGGAATCTGGCTCATATATCATCCATGTGGACTCATCAGCCATACCTAAAGTCTTTTCTGGCCACCATACCTGGTATTTGTCAATGCTTTCTTCAATATCAGACACTGCCAGTGCCACTTCTAAGCTCATATACACATACTCTAATTCAATCCATGGTTTCAGTGCCAGCCTCACTTCATCTGAGCTTGAAGCCCTCAAAAATTCCTTTGGCTACATTTCATCCACTCGAGATCTTCCTCTTAAACTCCACACAACTCATACTTCTCAATTTCTGGGTCTAAGCTCAAATTCGGATGCGTGGACAGCTCCCAATCAGGGGGAAGATGTCATAATTGGTCTAGTTGATACCGGGATTTGGCCGGAAAATGAGAGCTTTAATGATGAGGGGATGACTGAAGTCCCCTCCAAATGGAAAGGAAATTGTGAGTCTGCCACCAAATTCAATTCCTCCTTCTGCAACAAGAAACTTGTTGGAGCTCGCTTTTACAATAAAGGTCTCCTCGCTAACAATCCTAGGCTAAAGCTGTCCATTTCAACAAACTCTCCCAGAGATTCAATTGGCCATGGTACACATACTTCCTCCATAGCTGCTGGAAACTATGCAAAAGGAGCATCTTTCTTTGGCTACGCTCCAGGGGTTGCAAGAGGCATGGCGCCACGAGCCCGAGTAGCCATGTACAAAGCAGTTTGGAGATATGGGGTTTACGCATCGGATGTTCTTGCTGCAATGGACCAAGCAATTCAAGATGGAGTGGATGTACTGTCCATATCCTTGGGCTTGAGCTTGGCTGACACTTTTGTGAAAGATGATCCAATTGCAATAGCTGCTTTTGCTGCCATGGAGAAGGGTATTTTTGTTGCAGCATCTGCCGGAAATGATGGGCCGTTCTACTGGAGTTTAATCAACGGAGCACCGTGGATGCTAACAGTAGGCGCCGGTACTGTTGACCGTGAATTCGGCGGAACTTTAACTCTGGGAAATGGAGTTCAAATCGGCTTTAAATCTCTCTATCCAGGTAATTTTTCTCTGAATCAAATGTCCTTGGTTTTTATGGATGAATGTACAAATTCAGAGGAATTGAAAGAATTAAGAAACAGCGTCATTGTCTGCAAGGACAACCTCAATTTAAGAAATCAAGTGGAAACCGTTAGGACTGCAGGGGTTCCAGGGGCTGTTTTCATATCCGACTCTGCTTCCTCTGAACTTTTCACCAGAACCTCTTTTCCGGCAGCTTTTGTTGGCCTTCATGACGGCCAAACTGCAATAGATTACATTAAGGAAAGCCAGAGTCCGACAGGAAGCTTTCAATTCCAGAAGACGAGAGTTGGCACAAAACCGGCCCCGAGAGTAGATAGTTACAGCTCGAGGGGACCATTTTTGAGCTGCCGCAATGTCCTGAAGCCAGACATCTTGGCCCCTGGCACTTTAGTCTTGGCATCTTGGTCTCCAACTAATGCAGTTGCTGAGGTCCGATCACGTCGGTTGTTTAACAATTTCAATCTTGTCTCCGGTACCTCCATGGCTGCACCGCACGCGGCGGGCGTGGCGGCAATTCTAAAGAGAGCTCACCCTGATTGGAGTCCAGCGGCCATCCGCTCTGCCATGATGACCACAGCCAATGACTTGGACAATACTTTTGCCCCTATAAAAGATGTTGCAGATTATAACCGACCAGCTAGCCCTCTAGACATTGGAGCTGGCCATATCAATCCCAACAAAGCTATCGATCCCGGGCTAGTCTATGATGCAACGGCTAAGGACTACATAAAATTTCTCTGTGCAATGAAGTACACTGCAACAGAAATTCGGATCATCACAGGGTCTAGTAACAATTGTTTGAACAAGTCATTGGACCTTAATTACCCGTCTTTCATTGCTTTCTTTAATGATGAGAAGAGTACTAGCCAGGATCAGAAGGTTGTTAGAGAGTTCCGGCGGGTCGTGACTAACGTAGGCGAGGGAGAGGCGAGTTACACGGCGGAGCTGACAGGCCTGGATGGTATTAAGGTGACGGTGGAGCCATGGAAGTTGGAATTCAGGAAGAAGCAGGAGAAACAGAGCTACAGGCTAAGTTTGGAGGGCCCAAAGTGGATGGAAAAGGAGGTTGTTCATGGTTCTTTGAGTTGGGTTGATGATGAAGGTAAATATGTGGTGAGGAGTCCAATAGTGGCCACAATGCTCAGGCCAGAGATCCCTTAAAGGGCATGGTTTCTTTTTTGGGCCCATCAAGCCTGTCTGATAATTTTCTTTTCTTTTGTTTTTGTGGGGGGGCTAGAACCCAAGACTTGTAGTCACTTCGGGCTGGTTTACATGAAGCCCAAGGATGATCGGCTTGCTCGGCTACCGTTTGATAATTGATTAAGTTCGTATTATTGAATGAGTTGTTAATTTGAGTAAAAAACTTAGTGTTTTTTTAAATAAAATTTTATATTTAAATTTTATAAATAATAAAATAAATATTGTGAGAGGTTTTTTTTTTTATAAAATTTAATCTAATTTGATTTTAAACTAATGGGTTAAAGGTAATTTACAAATAACAAGCCCTAATAAAAAATTTTGGTATTGGCTTTCAAGTACACTGAAATTCTATTTTTGATAGACAAGGAGTCAATTGTTTTAACTACTGGCGATAAGTTTTATACATGATCATTGCATCAAATCAATCAAAGATTCCCTGGACGTACCGAAGTACCCAAAAAAACAAAATATCAAAGATTGGCTAGCCCCTCGGTTGATGGAAATCTCCTATTCACACAAAATTGTAATTTTCCTTTTAAGAAAAAGAAAATAAGACATGGGGTTTGGTGGCTGAATGGGCAGTAGGAGGTAATGAAAATGAAATAATTATAATATTATATAATTATTTTTTATTTAAAATTTTATTTATAATATAATGTTTATTTATTTAAAAATATATTATTATTATAATATTATTATACAAAAAAAAAAAATTAAATTTCATTGTCCACCCACTATAAAAAGACTTATTAGAAGGGCAAACGCATGATAATAGTTTTGCTTTATAAAGATTAAATTTTGTTTGAGCGAATCAGTTTATGTGATTATTAAACTACTTTATTGTTGATGATGAGAGTAAAAAATAACTTACATTGGTTTAGAGGTTGGGATATTTTATTTATAGTTAAGTAAATAGAATTTTTGTAAGATTACTTCTCTATGCTATAAGGAACTAATTATCCTGTGGGGACTACAAGTCTTGTACCATTGTCTTCAAATCAAAGGATTAATTCCTGCACCAGGTAAAGCCGTAAAGGTGTTCTGATAGGAATATAGCTTCTTGCTTTTAGATTTACTCTTTTAATATTGTTTGGACTTTAGCATAATTATTGAATTAAACTTTACCATAATTATTGAATTATGAGGGCCTTGAATCCAAATAATTGATGCTTTACTATTTAAGCTATAAACCCTAAAGAAAAAATTGTAAAAGTGTAAAACACTTGACTTTTTTTAACTTAACACTTGACTTTTTTTAACTTAACACAAACAATCTTAAAATACGTACGCAGCCTCGTGCCAACTTGGTGTGTACCCTTACGTGAAAAAGGAGGCGAGGTGCGTACAAATTAATGATGTCGAGACGTACATGATAAAATGAAGAAAAAATAACAAACAAACTTGGGGTGAACTACGAAGACAAAGGCCCCGCGCCTTTCCGTGATCGTTTTTGTCATTTTTTTCATGATAATATAAATTCTTGGTACTCCTTACCATGAATTATGATCCAACCGCAGCCAATATAAACACTAATAAAGCCGAGGACCCATGCGGAAAACCAGGTAAACCTTTGACAATTGCAACACATTGCGCATGTCATACAGGAAGGATTGATTGAAACCGAGGGTAAGTGTATTCAAAAGTCTTCTATGCCCCAAAGTCAACCAAATTGTTTTGAGTTCCTAGTGATCATGTGATTAGATTTAAACCCTCTCATGTGAAATCCCAATATTTCTCCTTGATTTAATGTTTTTTTATACATTTCATAATCAACATACAATAAAAATAATCGCATGTTAAATTTATTTATATTATTTTAATATCTAAATATAAAATTTTTAATTTAAAATATCAAATTTTTACCTATTAAAACACCCCATTAAACATTTTTCTTAGTACAGTGAATTTGGAAAAATGTAAGCTTGGAATAAAATGAGCAGATATGGTGCGATAGCATTGTGACAAGTCCGACCCTCTCCAATTAATACCCTTCACGTACAAGCTTCGGTAACAGTAAACAAAACACCAACACAACGTGCACGGCGCAGATCGTGTACGTCCTGGAGATCCTACAGATTTGACAGGCATTAATTGTAAGCTTTTAAAAAAACATAGAATCAACGAAACAGAGTACTCTGCTTTCTTTCTTCCTTCTTCATTTTCCTCCGTGGTTTCAGATTTTCAGCTACATCTACTCGCAATGTCGACTCATCTCTCCAAAACAGACTCCGAGGTGAGTAGCGTCTCTCAATCTTCACCGGCGAGGACTCCAAGCGGCGGTCGCCCGGTCTACTACGTGCAGAGTCCGTCCAGGGATTCCCACGATGGGGAGAAAACCACCAACTCCTTCCACTCCTCTCCGGTGCTCAGCCCCATGGGTTCGCCTCCCCACTCTCACTCCAACTCTTCCTTAGGCCCACATTCCTCGCGTGAATCCTCCTCCACGCGTCTCTCGCGCTCCAACCGAAAGCATAACGGCTCCCGTAAAGGCAGCCGCAAACCATGGAAAGAGTTTGACGCTATTGAAGAAGAGGGACTTCTTGAAGGCGACGGCGCCGACCACGGCTTTCCTCGTCGCTGCTACTTCCCCGCTTTTGTCGCTTGCTTCTTTCTGCTTTTCACTTTGTTCTCCTTGATCCTCTGGGGTGCTAGTCGGCCACAGAAACCTGTCATCACCATGAGGGTAAGACAAGATCAGACTGTTGATTAATTTCTCCATTTCTGCATGTTCAGATTAAGAATTTCTCAAATTGGTAAATGCAATTTACAGAGTATTTCGTTTAATCAATTCGTGGTTCAAGCCGGAATTGATTACTCCGGAGTGGCAACCGACATGGTGTCCATGAACTGCACAGTGAAGCTCACATTTCGCAACACTGCTACATTCTTCGGGGTCCATGTAACATCGACCCCTCTGGATCTCTCCTACTCTCAACTCACCGTCGCCACCGGAACTGTAAATTTTCTTCCCCCACCAATGAACAAATTTCACCTCTTCTTCACGGGTTTTGATTAATTTTTACTTGGTTCTGCAGATAAACAAGTTTTACCAGTCAAGAAAGAGCCAGAGATCAATAACAGTGACAATGAAGGGGAGCAACATTCCTCTGTATGGTGGAGGAGCCAGCTTGGGCAGTCTGAATGGGGCACCGACAGTGTCGGTGCCACTGAAACTGGACTTCATGAGCCGATCAAGAGCCTACGTGTTGGGAAGACTAGTGAAGCCCAAGTTTTACAAGAGGATTGAATGTTACGTAACTATGGACCCCAGGAAGATGAATGTAGCCATCTCTCTGCAAAATAAGTGCAATTACAGTTGATGAATTCAGAGCCACAGCTAAGAAACAAGACACCTGAGTAAGGTGCAATTTCTGGTAGTGACAGAGTTGGGGCCGGGTAGCAATTCTGTTTTCTAGGCAGCGTGAAAGGGTCAGGAGGAAATAGCAAATCTAGAGGACTGGTCGGTGGACTTAATATATGTATATTTTTTTTGTAATTTTGTTTTCCTATGGGTTTCTTTTTGTTTAAACTTAATAATAAATGGGTTATAAATATCTACCAGGAAATTGAAGGTAAAAGTTTACAGGTAATATTCGCGCATAATGCTTTTGTGATACAATTTTTTATTTTTTTAACCAATTAATTATGTTTCAATTGCATATTTAGGAGACGAGAAATAATGTTAATGGTCGAACTTGAAAGTAGAACTTTGGTACTACACCACTAATTCCTCGGGCCAAGAACATGATTGGTGCTTTTGTGAAATGGTTTGTTACAATGTGACATGTAAAACATAGTTATTTAGTCATACAATGTATTACAACCACTATTTTTTTTTTTGAAAGGCTGTATTACAACCACTATACTTGATGTATTCTCAAAATTAATGGAGTAAGCATACAAGAGAGCAGTGGTTTTGTGTTCAACGTATTCGTATTTATACCGAGTAGTTGATATCCTTGGATACATCTAATATAACATGGTGTCCTTAATTACACTTTACTCAAAAAATTGGTTGCCTAAATGTTAATTAAATAAAAGAAAAGAAAAACAGTCTATATTTTCAGGTACTTGGGTCTATTTCTACAAATAAGCCCATAAAGCAAGTGACCCAATAATATGCGCAGTTTGTTTTGAGTTGGACATTATTTGTGGATTAGAAAGGCAGTCTGCCATTCCACCCCCCGCAGGAAAAGCCCAACCACAACTCTCAGGCTCACAGTGACAGCTTCCAGCCTTCCACAATTTTGTTTATTTATTGAAGAGAAACCATACCTAGTAATTATGGATGGGTTTAGTTATAGTTATAATCACTAATTTTATTTATTAAAATTATATTAAAAAAATGTCAATTGTATTTAATTTAATTATTAAAAATAATAAATAATTAATAAAATAATTTCTATTTATTATTTAATAAATTAAAATAAAATTATAAGTTAATATTTTTAAATATTATAATTATTTATTTAAATTATAAATATTAATTAAATAAAATATAATTTTGATGATTTTAATAAGTTAATTGGTGGTCATAACACTCGTCATGGATGACCGAACAAATAAGACAGCATAATTAAGAATATTTTGATTTCGACTCTCATCGTTGATTTGTGAGCCTGTTTTTTTCAGAAACAAGAGAAATAATGTAAGGCGTTTGGTGCCTGGGTAAATGGGCGGTTGTGTTATTGTCATTTACAACTTTGTTAAGGTCACGGATCTTCATTGCTATTTTAGCAGTTTATAAATTTAAAAAAAAAATTAGGTAGGATATTTAAAAGTATTTATTTATAAAATAGTTTTAGTATATTAAATAATAAATATCATTTTTTATTTAACTTTAGTAGATTTAATTTTTTATTTTGGATGTTTAAATTTAATTGTCCCTCTTTTTATTTTTAAAAAAT